ACACCTCAGAGAAATTCAAACAAACATCCTCAATGACAACACAGTGTTCAATAATGTTAATCAGTCTCCCTATCAACACGGTGGCGAATCCTTAAAAAACATCACATACAGATGAACCAATGCTACAAAGTGCCATTTGAACCAAATTTGGAGAGTAAAACATAGAGCTATTCTCAATGTGCCGGACCCGCGTGGTGATAACATGTGATAACCACGTGTGCTGCCATCTCCCAGATTGGGTCCTCCACCGCCATGCCACATTGTGTCCTTACCGCATGGCCCACATGGTCAAATTTTTAGACAGACTACATCATCACAGCTGAAAACCAAATGGATGCAGCGCAGATGAGATACATTATCATCTGGAACAATGTATCTTTCCACCGATCTGCTCTGGTCCAAAACTGGTTTCATCAGCATCAACAATATATACTCCAATACCTCCCACCACACTTTCCCTTCCTTAACCCTATTGAGGAGGTTTTTTTCAGCATGGCGGTGGAAGGTTCATGACCTCCAGCCTTATATCAGGATGCCCCTCATTGAAGCTATGGAGGATTCCAGCAACCAAATAGATGCAGTATCTGTGCAACTCGGATTCGCCATTCAAGAAGATACTTCCTTCACTGTCTTGCAAGAGAGGAAGTAGCCTGCGATGTGGACGAAATGCCAGATCCAGCCAGGCAAAGAGATAATTAGGTTTTTTTGTTTTTTGTACTGTACAGCACTGTACTTCATGCTTTCTACAATTGGTTTTGCTGAAAATAAATACATATCAGTATGCAGTACTGTGTGTGCTGTGTTTGGTCAATATATCCAATACTCTAACAATACTGTATCTCTGAAAAGTCAAATCCAGACTATTTCATCTGAAAATTGTTTAGAATATTAAATGTGTTTTAGATTGAGCATGGCAGTGTTTAACTGGTTCAAACAGAATTAGATCATTTGAACCGTGTGTGTGCCACACGGTGACAAAATCAGGTTTTTATAAATTATTGTATATTTCATTTTGCAAACTCTCTGAGGTGCTACTTGTGTGAATAGTAGTGTGAATTGTGTGTAGTGTTTTGACAAAATGAGCCCTGCTTTCAAAATCATGCTTAAGCATTAAAAAAAACTGTAATCCGATCCTTGTGCCATAATCAGCCCCCATTTAAGAAGGCATACTGAATTCTGTGAATGATCCACCTCAGCACTGTCCCGTTACTGTGTAAATAAACCTGTATTATCACAGCACCATATGGCACATATCCAATAAGGAACATTACAGATGCATTTATTTAGTTATCCTCTTTAAAATGTTGGAATCATTTTGTTAATCAGAGCATCTAAGTTGTTTGTTGGCTCCTGTGTGGTCATGATTCAGGGGTGTCCTCTGGTCCAGTTTACTGTTTTCAGGCCCTGAGTGGCAGCTTCTCCTCCAGAGGTCTGTCAGCACAGGCAGAGGTCCAACACTCTGTGTACTGGCCTTTGGTTTACACAAGCCATAGCCTTGAAACAAACAAGAGCAACAGAGGCGAGGTTTGTGAAATAGAAAGTTGCATACCCTAGTGGAGAAAAAGTTCATTTAAAAAAAAAATTGTGATAATGATACGATGTCCAAACTGTTTTTTTTTTTGTTTAGCTAAGGATTTTATGCAATATGCAAAATTACGGTGTTATACAGGCTATATTATATATAATATGAGAACAAACCAATTAAATGGCTTGAATTTGAAGCCAAACATAAAAAACACACATGCACTGACACAACACAAGCTTTGCCATCATGTTGAACGTTACTGTTGGCTATGAAGCACATTTAGTCACTCGTAGCAACTTTAATATGAAGTCAGTACATGCTCCTAAAATGTTTGTAATCAAGCTCAACTACATGAACACTGTCAGATGAACCCACCGTGTACTGGGAACAGCCAACGTTCCTGTGCAAATACGCTTATCTTGCCACTGTCCCTGATATTTTGAATCTTATCTCTAAACACAGCCAGTGGTGAATATGTAACACATTTACTCTGAAGTATGGAAACGTGTTTGGATGTCTGTGTGTTTGCATAATGTGTCTGTTCTGTCTCACACAGCTGCTGCCACAGTGCAACAAAGGGCCTCTGTTGGCCACTGTTATTGTTGGGTAATATTTAATTTTCCATTCAGTTTGACTGTGTGTGTGTGTGTGTGTGTGTGTGTGTGTTTAAAGGGAAGCATGAGTTGATGTGCAAAATGAAATATTGAGACACAGAGAGAGAATGTCATGACTGTCATTTTATCATGAGGAGATAACTGTAGTACCATGCCATGTCTTTTAAAAATTTTAATTAAAATCTATTTTAATGTCATATACAGTATGCACCATATTAGTTGTCTGCCGGTCCTCTGAGGTCTGTATCTGCCACAGCCTTATGTTGCCTCGAGACTGATCGCTATGACACTTTAAATAATTCATGAAAACACACAAAGTCCTCCGGAAATAAGGGGTTCTTAGCAACCTTAGAGGGAGTTATTCTACATGGAAAACATACACTGTGTTGGTATTTATCAGGTTGATTCATACATTTTGTTTTTATACTCGATACATTTAAATTTGACTCATTACTCATTTTAAGGCACTCAGAATTTTTCCTATTCAGTATGGTGTAGGCAGCTTTTAGACCACAATTTAGAGATATTTAAAATTAGCGTTAGTTAGTTAGTTAGATAGATAGATAGATAGATAGATAGATAGATAGGTATTTTATAGAGTGTTGCAGTACATAAAATAAAAAGTAAATTCACAGTTACTAAACACGAACACCTTACACATGTATGACTACTACTATGCTACTATACATTAAAAGAAATAAAAAAGGCTTAAAGATATGTCTCTCCGACTTGGCATCTGAATGTTTGAAGAAGCATTCAGATCCTTTATTTAAGTACTGTAAAAAGAAATAATTTATTAAAAGTCCTGCTGCAGTAAAATTATAAGATTATCAGAAAAGTTTACTTAAAGTATCAAACTAACAGTATTTGCTCTGGAAAAAAAAAAGGCCCCTGTGACATATATTACACATTACATTACATGACATAATGCATTCTTTGGGATGGTGATGCATGATTGTGTAAGCACCACGTGGAACTACTTATAATAATAATAATATACAATTAATCCGGTGGTTCCCAACCCAGAAGTCAGGCCCCCTCCAAAGAGTCACAAGATGAATCTGAGGGTCGTGAGATGATTAATGGGAGAGGAAAGAAGACAAAGTTTTCATACACAAATTGATATTGATTTTTTCTTTTTTAATTTTCTGCAATCTTTCCTTTTTTTGTGAAATATTGGATAATTTTACATTTTTGGTCTCTGAGCAGTTGTTTAAATGAAACCGACTCAACAAGGTGCCCCGACTGCTTTCTTGAATGGTGTCACAAGCTAAGAATGTTGAGAACAGCTGGTTTAATCTTTAACAATGTGTTGTACTTTATGCTTATCATGTGCATTTTATGTGCAATCTTAATCTGAAAAGTAATTATTTCTGATTATTATAACTCATGAATTAATGTAGTTGGTGTAGGTTGAACTATTTTGTATCTGACTGACTAATTACTGATTATTTTCATTATAGATTATTCTGCTGATTATTTTACTCATATTTCGATTGTAAAAGGTTATATGAGAAATGTTGTAACAATTGCTCTAAGCCAAAAGTGACACATTCACAATGCTTGCTTTGTCAGTCCAAACCTAAAATTGATTAAAATGCATTAAAATAATCAAAAGGAAAAGCAGCAAATCTTCACATTTGTGAAGCTGAAACCAATAAATGTTTTTACATTAACAATTACTTAAAAAAATTCCAAAATAGTTGCCAATTACTTTTCTGTCAGTTAACTAATGTACAACGTATACTTGTGTAAACTGTTGAGTATATACAAAACGTCTCTCTGAGATGTAGTGGAGTAGAAGTAGAAAGTCGCATTAAAAGAAAATTCTCGAGTAAAGTACAAATACCTCTTATTTGTCATTAAGTGCAGTACTTGCATAAATGTACTTAGTTACTGTCCACAACTGCTCATAACACACACACACACACACACACACACACACACAAATGATGAACTTTATGAATGATTTTTCACATAAATAAGTATTTCATTATAGAATAACACATTTTCACTTTATTGAATGCACTAAATTATGTAACAAGGATGAATCTGAAATGCAGACATTTGCTTCATTATCCTTGATTTTTTTCTATATTATTGCATAGTCATAAAAAAAACTTGAAACAAAAATGTATTCCTAAAATTTCAGTGGTGAAATACAGTTTTTCTCAATTGTTCACACAGTAACACTGTTACTGAAACAATGATCCCCAACCTGTAATTCATGTACCAACCCCTTGAACCTATTCTGCTAAAGCTTTACACTCAGACTGCAGTTCTAAACCACCTTGGTGAAAACACTACACATACTGTAGTTCACTATGCACATAGATGTAAATAATAATGATAAAATCTAGCCTACTTAAACATTATGCAAAGATTTTCTATATTTCAGTCTGGTTTCTGCAGAAATGCAGGACACTGGCCATCATTCTGTTTTGAATGTGTTTTGAACAGTTTTGAATACAGGGTATTATAGTAGCCTATACAGTACAAATATAGTGTTAAACAGGGAGTGAAGTAGTAATGAAAAAAAGAGTTCATGGATTTAGGAGACAGTGGTCATTGAATGCATTTTGTGTGAAAGCTATGAAAAACGAATTCACACATACACTTCTGTTTCGCTGACTGTTAACAGTTTTGGCCATGTGACTGCAGTTTTGACCAATGCGGGTTAGTAACTAGATAAAACTGTAAATGCTACACCACCAGAGCTGCCAGTTGAAAATGAAAGCAAAATCAGGAGAAAGTGTTGTTTTGTGGGGAGTGGTTGCCGTGTGCTACTGTGTTATCACCAGCCTGGGTAAGGGAAAGGGGAGGGGAGGAGAAGAGGAGAGGAGGGGTTACACAAACCCAGTCCCGCAGAACATCCTGCAAACACGTCTCAGAACAAAACTCTGTGCAGTTGCCCCTCACTGCGAGCCGTCGCGCGCATCGCCTACTGCCCCCGCCGGGATGGCTCGTTGTTTGACCTCCACAGAAGTCCCGACACTTTAGAAAAAGTCTTCCAGTTTATTGTTGTATAGCTCACTCTGCAGCTCGCTTCCCCCGCTGGACTTATGTGTTCATGTTTGGGCTCGCGGCGGTGGGACATCCGGAATGGGGAATCCGTAGGAGGAGACGACGCTCGCTGGTCTGCTGTTGGTAAATAGAGCGCGAACGCACCAAAGCGCGCCGCGCGCAACCCCCACACCGAGACTGCGCACGAGATGGACTTCAAGAAGACAAAATTTGGAAGGTAATATTTCCTTCTCTTAGGAAAGTCTGACTGCTGATATCTGGCACCATGTTTTTTCATGTGTGACAGACTCTGTGCATCCATGCGCACTGACGCTCTGGCACTGGGACAGTTGAGAGAGATGTTATAGATTAGTTTGTGTGTTTGTAAGAGAGAGAGAGAGCGAGAGAGAGAGGGGGGGGGGGGTGGGGGGGGTAATGAGCTTGGAGTACCTAAACATAATAAAAATAGCTCTAAGAATGAAGAATTTCATTTTCATTTTTAATATCAGAGTCACTTTCTTATTTCTTGCATTTATCTTCCCGTCCATCTTTCTGCTGTCCAGGTTCCTTGTTGGCTGTAGTTTTCTGTATCATGTATGGCTGCATTTCACTGCACATGGCATCACTTAGCCTAGGCCTATACACTTTAAAGAATAGCCTATATCACTTTGATTTCTGCTTGGGTGCATTCATTGGTTAGTCTGCGTGTCTTACAGTGTGTGTGTGTGTGTGTGTGTGTGTCTGTGTGTATGTGTGGGTAAACCAGAGATGGCGATAATCGTGAGAACCGAAGTTTGAGTCCCAGAGGAGATGAACTTGATCTTTTCTGTAAAAGGAATGGCCCTGGAGTTACAGAGTGTTCACAAACACACACACACACACACACACACACACACACACACAAATCTACCATGATCCAAAGGTTCTGTGATCCTCTTGTAGATGCAATCGATCCTATTATTGTATGGAATGTACAGTAATAGGCTTTCATTACTTAACATTGGCTTTGCAGGGTGAAAACACGCATGCATGTGAATGTCTCGAACCATATGACACACGTGCAGAAATGAAGAGAAGTCTGCAGAAAGACAGAAAGAGAGAAAAGAGAAATAGTGTGTTGATGAGGACAACAATGCTCTCTCTGATCAGACCCTGTGAATCCCTATCCCTTCCTTTCAGTTTGTTACACGCACGCACGCACGCACGCACACACACACACACACACACACACACACACACACACTCAAACACACACACACACACACACACACACACACACACACAGTTCTGTCATAACAGATTAGAGGACATCAGAGTGCCACATTCAGGTCCACTGATAGCCCTACAATAATGCAACAGAACAGTTGTCTTGTTGTTCCACGGTGGAACTGCAGAGGAAACAAAAGACAAAAGGAATGGCAGCGATACAATAATCTAATGTTACTAAATGTTTTCTTTCTGTGGATTACACCTTGACAAAAACAGAGCATGTGATGCTTGATGGTGAAAGCATTTACTTTATTTATTGCCTTTTGTAGTAGGAATCATGCAGACGCTCATATGTGAGCAGAACTTTAATAAAGGTGAGTATGAGTCTATTAAAAGCAGAAAAGAGACTGAGGCAATGGCTCCTACGCTGTAATGTTGAAGAAAAGACATACGGAAAGATTGTGTGTGTGTTGCGAGTTAGAGATGCCTCTACTCCCAACCAGACCTACAACAGGAAAACATACAGACACTTCTCTTATGAGAGTTCTGGTGGTGAGTGCACAAACAAAACTCGCGCCTCAAGCTGAAACATAAAGCAAGACAAATGTTACTTTTGTCCTCTTCCTGTCCACCAAACCACATTGCAGTTTTTTCGATAGATAAACTTGGTAACTGAGATAGTTTTCCTGCGTGTTTCTTAACAAGATGTAATGTACAGTTTAAGGAAATTAGCTCAGAATATGGTTCAGCACCATAAAGTAAAGTTTGTTCAATCTAGGGCTGCCCCTGACAAAAAGATTTTCCTAGTCCTACTATCGTTCACGATATAGTGGTATAATTTCAAATATGATATAAAGCATATATTGTGAGAATGGCAATATTCAGCTTGATTTAATGACCAGTGTTGGGTAGTAACTAGTTACTTGTAATTTAGCTACATAATCTGTTACAGTTACTAAGAAAAAATGTGTATTTAAATTACAGTTACTCATGAAAATGTACATGATTACACTGAAAATGTTCTATAAAAAGTTAGGCTATATGTTGAAGAATATTAATTTTGTTGCTTCGCATGTTTTTCGCGTGCACAATGTCTTCCTTTGCCACTTCCAGATACAGCCTTTGGTAAAGTTGGATGCTATTATGATGCTTTTGATTGGTTGTCATGTTAGAATTTGCAATGCCACCTATCTGTCAGTTAAATCGCCTCTTCTCAAAAGCTGTCTTTTGAAAATGGTTAATGGTTGAAAACATCCATTAGAAATTTAGAAAAGTAATCAAAAAGTAATTAAATGTTTTAAGTTACATTACTTTGATAAAGTAATTGAAATAAATAAATAAATAGTTACACTTCTATTACATTTTAAATAGGGTAACTTGTAATCGATAACCTATTACATTTCCAAATAAACCTTCCCGGCACTGTTAATGATGACACACTGCAACAACAAGCATGGCAGACAGCGAAAGTAACTTTGCTAAAAGCTCCACGGTGGTGGAGTTAGAAGTTCTGTGGAAGTGTTTTGGTTACAAGTGATCAGATGGACAACAAACCACAGAAATATGAAAGAAGTGCAAGAAGACTGTTACAGCAAAAGGGGATTTGCAATATTGTCAAGAATATCATTATAGCAGAAATACTCTGAAATAACATGAGCCATATTGCCCACTCCTAGTCCAGTCAACTTTATGATATTAATTTAATTATTTTAATATTTTTGGGGCATCAGAAAATGGTTTGAGTTCCAGAATGAATGTTCTAAGTAACATTGTTAACACTGTTCTACATTACAGAGAGATACAAAACCGGAATAATGAGCCTTTAATGTATAAGCGCACGCAGCTAGCTGCCTGCTAATTGCTAACAACTGTACATTGTGTTAATTTATTCTAGCACAGTATAACATCACACAAGCCTTGTTGTTCAAAACACGGGAATAACTTCCAACTTCTCAAGAACAAATGCAAGCAGACTTTACAACACAATGGATGATGCACAACACATAAAAATGAGCTCGCTACAGGCTCGCTCCTCTCTCGCTTGACGCCTCTCCTGTCCCCTGCCTAAACCTGCCGTGTTTTAGTTGGCGCTGCTCTAAATCATCACCGTTTTTTGCTGTGAGGCTGCTGAGGCTCTGTGTTACAATAAAAGGTCTGTGTTGCAACAATTCCCTGATGCTTTCATCCAGGCCCTAGTGACAAGGTGCAGGTCCTGAATACGTTTGAAGTTGTGGTCGTTTCTTCCTGCGACTAACTGAAAACTTGGTCGACTAAGACACTTCTCATCGATTTAGTCGACTATTAGGGGCAGCCCTGATAAAATCAGATATGTAGCACTTTCTTTGAATCTAGAAAGGATGCCTTTTTTCATTCCTTAATCTGACAAGGTTTATTTGGTTTTACTGCAGATATTGTAACTTGTTTATTAATTTCAATCGATTACTATATGAGTAAAGTTTTGAACTCGCCTGCCAGGTCACTGTGTAATGCAGGACTTTTCCCTGTTAAATTAGCAGGAGGCTTAGGTAATCCGGTGTTTTATAGGCTTTTAGGTGAGGTTTGTCACATGTCATACATCTCTTTGTCTGCTGCTTTTGACTCAGGTTGTGCTGATTGCTCTCTTCACTGTGCAGAATTATTAGACCGTTACAACAAACAGCTATTGGATATGTGTGTGTGTGCGTGTGTGTGTGTGTGTGTGTGTGAATGTGTGTTGGGAATGAGGCGCGTTGCCGGCGTGTCTGCGTGTGATGATGAGCCGTTGGCCTAAATGTGTAATCAAATAACACAGCTGACCAACATGGACGCACCTGTGGCCCTGAACGAGGAGTTACATTCAAATCAGTGGGCTTGCGTGTGTGTTTGTTTGTGTGTGTGTGTGTGTGTGTTTGTGAGCATCTTGATGTATAAAATGTGGTTTCGTAACATGCCCAGATGTGTTTTTTCCCTGTAAGCTGGGATTGAGGGATTTACAGCTGATTAAATAGCCTACACAACACACACACATACATACACACACACACACACACACACACTCACACAAAGTAACTTTCTCAGAAGTATATTACACAATGACAAATACTGCATATGTAGTTAACGATTAGTCTCAGTGGTATCCTGTTGTAGTACAGACTGGGATATCTCAGCAACAGGAATGCCAACACTAAAATTCAAACAACGTGATGTGGATTAGAGACCTGTAAATCCTCCAAGAATGACCATTACACACATGCATGCGTGCGCACACACACACACACACACACACACACAGGCCACTGACCTTCATGGGTTCAGCACACAGTAACTTATTAACCAATAAAGCTGTACCTTGTTTTGCCTCTAGATCTATATTCATTGCCTGAACACACCCCTCTGTCTTTCTCCCCTTTTCTTCCTGCCCCCCCCCTCACCTCACCTCTCTCTCAGGTTCATGAACTGCAGGGTCCCAGACAGCAAGAGATACCAGCCCACTGAATATGAACATGCTGCAAACTGTGCGACACACGGGGTAAACCAAACAAATACAAACACACGGACACACGTAGAGAAAACACACACTTTCAGAGCAAATACTATCTTTGTTTTATGGGTTTACTCGCTCTGTCCCAGTCTGTCCCAGTCTGTCCCTGTGCTTTCTGTGTTTAATGAGTTTGTCAGTTCAGAGAAGCCTCTGAAAAGATGGAGAGGATTGCGAGGAATGAGGCCGAATGGGGAAGATTTTTGGCTGTGCCATAGAGGCAGTGGGCTATAATCTGGGATTCAGCCTGTAGCTTCCTCTAATCTGCTGTAATCCCTGCGCTCTTCCGCCTCCGACAGAGCAAGACAGACAGTGAATGAGACAGACCGAGAGAGATGGAACAAAACTGAGAGAAAACATGGCAATAATGACTGTAAAGCCTCAAATGGGTGGCAGGAGTTTTCCCATAGTGAAATCTCTTCATGATACGTCCATTGATTCATTCATTCATTCTGCCAGCTAAGGTGCAATTTTGCAGGGCTGTGTGTCCCACAAACATCAAGTATTATCTTCACCTTTTGTTAGATACAGAATCAGTTAACCCTGTCATGCATGAATTATTAAAAACGTTATCTAGATTTTTTCAAGATGCTTTTTATTACTCAAAATTTGGCTAAAATACAAATCCATTTAGATTTTTTTTTCCAAAATTCAGTTTTATTTTTAAATTATTCAACTGTCCAAATATGTGGACACCATGCAACAAAGGAGTAAAAATTTTGATGTCAAGTTATGCTATTTATTTTAGCTCACTAGTTGAAAATTAACAATAAAACACATATTTTAGGAACAAATAGAGGAAAAACTGGTGGTATTTATAACTGTAGTTACATGTATGTGGACACCCAGTAGCATATTGTTATCCTTATCTAATTTCATGTTGAATCATCTCAGTTTTAACATATCAACATCCAACATGTAACAGATAACATAGTTCTAGTTAAAATGTCTTAATAGTATGTGAGAATAATACTTGTTCTTATCAAATTCCTATCAAAGTATTCTTATTCAAAGCAGTCAAAAGTTGCCATTTAATGTTTATTATAATATAATACAATTCATCATATCTTTGAATATTTAGAATAGAAAACTAGCAGGTTACATAAATCAAACCTGTTAATAATACTTTACTGCACATACTACAATTTTTTTTTTTACCTCGATTGACCTGCTTGAATAAAAGTTTTTCACAGATATACCTGAGGCATTTAGCACATGGCCATCACAACTGGCCATCTTGGATGGATGGAGGATTTTGGTACCTTTGGACAGACCCAGGCTAGCTGGTTCCAGTCTGCTAAATTAAGCTAACCCGCTGCTTGTGGTAGCTTCATACCTAGCAAACAAGACAAGACACAAGAGTGGTATCAAAATTCTCATTTAAATCTCGGCAAGAAGAAGAATAAGTGTATGTCCTCAAAATGTTGACCCATCCCTTTAACAGCGGTTGCAACTATTTCTCTTGGATTCAGAGAGAGAGAGTAATGTCAACAATGGCACAAACCCTTTTTAGGACAAATGCAGAGGAGTTTTCCCACAAGAAGCTGGTAAAGAAAATGCCTGGTAACATTCATAGTATTTGCAAATACTAGGTTTGTACTCTGAAGGATTTTGAATTGGATCAGCAGAAGTTAAGCTGAAGCACATTATCAACAATATTACATGTATGCTTGAACAGGACAGAGTTGATGCACTCTTAAGAAACCCGAAAATGTTAAAGAAAAGTCTCATATGTAAAATGCAGTTTGTGCATCATGAGGAAATTCTGTCAAACTGTTTTTTTTGTTTGTTTCTGATCTTATCTTCTAGTTGTGGATCCTCCCAAGTCTGGTGGGCGGGTCTGTGCTGTACTACCTGTCTGTGGACCGATGGCACTGTGTGGCTGCCTGGCTCTATGGGAGCGGTCTCACCGGCCTGTTCGTCACCTCGACGCTCTTCCACACAGCTGCCTGGAAAATCAGCCACCTCCGGTGTGTGTTTGTGTGTGCATGTGTGTCTGTCCAGCAGAAAACACTGGTAGAGATTTGGCAGATGTGCATGTGTGTGTTTATGTGCTGCTCCGGTAGACATTTACATCACATTCTGCATGACATAACAACATGACATACAGTTCGTTAATTATGACACAGCCAGGAGGCCAGAGATCAAACAACAGATGTGGTAATGAAAATATTTCACATCATCTTCAACTCACACTCGCAGAAAAGCATCCACTTATACATTCAAACACACTCTCACATAGTAGCAAACTCTGCTTTGAATTTCCACATTCAGTTTGGTCCACTTTCCTGTCACGTCCTTCATAAATCACATAACGGAAATCCTTTACCATTAATAAAAATCTATTTTAGAAAGCCATTCAAGTCTTCAAATGTGGCCTCACTAAACCATTCATTGGTCTATTAACAGTCAAACATTTAGAGGAGGAAATGCCTTTTTGCGAGTGTTGCCCCATATATACATGCTGTATTTCACTAGCAAGGACCACACAATCAGCAGGTATGATTAAATGATTTATTGATGATTGAAACAGACAGATGTATAAGGCTTGCAGTTGCTGAATAGACATTCGAAGCGTTGTGGGGAGGCTACAATAGGGAAATCCACGGTAGCACCCGAGCACAACGGACCCCCTTATAACCCTATGGAGAGGACAGAGAAATGGGGGGATGCAGAATGCGAGAGGGAAGAAGAGGAGCTGGGACGTGTGGGTATTTATGGAAATGCTGGCAATGACGTGGTTGATGTCTGGTTCCGCTCCTGAAACTAATTAGCTCCACTTGGTTTGAGGTTCATTCTTAATAGATTTGGATTGGTGTACCTATTTTATTTTGTTATGTACTTGATCAACTATAGGTATTTCATTTTCTATGGTTAAAATTGAATCTGGATAATTAAACCAAAAGATCTTGATGGTTTCTCCACAACCGTAATCTAAAACCAAGTAGTATTAACGCTTCTCATTGTACCATGTAGGGATTTGTTTATGGGTCTGAAAATAAACTCATATTGGATGTTCACTCTAAAAAGTCAAGTCCCCAGCTAACTTTGAACAACCCTGTACTAGGTTTGAGGTTATGGAATTGTTTCTATGACAACAGCTTCAGATAATTTATTTTAAAACTTTGCTTTGAAGAACTGAGAAATCAAGACCATCGATGTACAGAGAACAGGGCCTAAGACATTTAGTTTAATTCTTGTTGCTCAGAGCTACATGCGCCATATTTTGTCTGTGTAAACTTAAAATGTTGCGTACAAAACATTTAACAAAGGATGTGGTGAATATATTCCAACTTTTAAATAAAATTCTCCAGCCTTCCACCCACAATAGTCCAAAAAAGACACAACAGACATTCTTTCATATGTTGAAGGACAGTGTCAGGGGAAGTTTGAATTTGTGGTGTGTGTGTAAGTGTTTTCACAACAACCAAATTTGTGCTTAAAACAACCTCCTATACTATGTAAAGGTTCCTAAGGTACTTTGCTTGGTACTGTTTTTTTTGCTGGCTGAGTCCTGTATAGTTATTGGATTATCAATAGGTAATGTTTTTTCCCAAACTAGATAAAGGTTGTCATGATTTAGATATGAGCTCTCGTCTCTCCTTTTCTTTGTCTCTGTGCAGGAGGGTGGAGCAGCGTTTCCACATGTGTGACAGGATGGCAATCTACTTCTTCATAGCTGCCTCCTACTCTCCCTGGTGGGCCACGTGATTGCTGTCAACAAAGTAAAACATTAATAAAATCAAATACTGTCATGATGTATGTGTGATGTGCTTCCTCAGGTTGATGCTAAGGGAGCTGGGTCCTTGGGCGTGCCACATGCGCTGGCTCATCTGGGTTATGGCTTGTGTAGGATCCACGTATGTCTTCTTTTTCCACGAGAGGTAACATACAGTCTTTCTTTGTGTCTCTCTGTTGTGTGTCGTGGTTTGACATAACTAAACCTAAACCAACCCTCCCCCCCCCCCCCCCCCCCTCAAGTGTTTACAGTAAACATTGGGCTGCTGTTTGGAGTAGAAACAGTTACACAGAAAGTAATTTCCTGTCTTCTGTTTTCTACCTGCAGGTACAAGCTGGTAGAGTTGCTGGGCTACGTGGCCATGGGGGCTGTTCCTGCTTTGGTCATCCTGTCTATGGTAAGACCAAACCACAAAGCATTGTCTTTCTCTGCTTCTGAGAAACAAAAGGCTTTTTGCAACAGGTTTCCTGCTATTGTTAGGGAGTCAAACAGTCAGTATTTAAAGAGCCAAACCGGTGGTTGTGTTTGTTTTAGACTATTACCTACAAATCACATCTGGTCACTGTGACACAACTGCCAGCTATTTTTCATAAGTAGATGTTTTTAGGTTGACATCCTGTCCTCCATGATAAAATTTTACTTGCATAGACTTGAAACCTTCTTGAGATAACCACACGCTGTCTTTGTGTTTTTAGATATGCTAGCTGTGTGGCTCTATGGATGGCAATGGTGGTCGGTCCACCACTTTGGTCCACACTAAAATATCTCAACAGCTGTTGGATGGATTGCCATGCAATTTGGTTCACTTAATTTAAGGTCCCCAAAGGATGAATCCTACTGACTTTGGTGATCCCCTGCCTTTTACTCTAGCGCCACCTTGAGGATCACATTTGCGACTTTCAGTGAAATAGATGAATAGATTAACATGAAATTTGGTACACACATTTGTGCCCCCCTAAAGGCATCACCATCTGGTCAAAATGATCATTTGTCCAATGATTTGCTTTGAAACTAAATATTTGCAAAACTAATGACATTACCATCAGCCTCTGCTCTATGTTTAAATGTTAGCATGTTAATACACATGGTGAACATGATAAACATGATACCTGCTTAACATCAGCTTTTTTGTTAGCTTTTTCATTGTAAGCATGTTAGCATTTAGCTCAAAGCCTCACAGAGCTGCTAGCATGTAGAGTCTTGGTGTTGTTTGTTAATGGACAAGGTAAGTTTTTCTACCCTGCCTGTGGCTCTCAGCCCATTCACTGCTGCTGAACTTGTAAACCTTAAAAAATATCGGTCGAGGAATATATACACTTTCATTTTTTAAAATAAAGACAAGAGATAGTTTACTAAAAGAGATCGGTTCTGAGGCTTTTTGTAAACTTCACTTAAATAGATGTAAAGTGAGTAAAATATTTATTGGGGACTATTTCCTGCCGCAGTTTTATTCACATTAGCAGATTCAATCAGAAATGTTATGCTTTGGAAAATGCCACAATGTAAAACAAAGCGTATACACTTTCCGAAGTTCCTGGACTAAAACACACAAAGCCTTTGATAAAGTTCCTAAAGTCCAGACACTGACACATATTCACTATAGCCCTTTATGTTGGACTATGCTGTATTTATTAGGGGTCCAACTTTGCCTCTTCACTTATATGACTTTTTATAAATGTTCCAGGTGGAGCGTGCAGGTGTGTGTGAACTTGCAATGGGAGGTGTCTTCTATGCGGTGGGCGTGGTCTTCTTTAAGAGCGATGGCCTTGTCCCTTTCGCCCACGCCATCTGGCATCTTTTCGTTGCGGCAGGAGCATCCATTCATTATTACGCCATCTGGAGGTACCTGTACTTACCTGGGCCACTGCTGCAGACGTCGAGGTGACTAGGCGCTCTCACCTCACATGGACTACGTCACTGACTGAGAAAAGTGTATTTTAGCCATAAGACCACTGACTACAACTAACCTAACTCATGAGGCTACACCTGGAGAGATGGTGCTGAAATGATCTGACTGTGACAGATCAGAAGAAATTCTCCACAGCTGGGGGCCAAAACTCTCGGATCAATCCAATTCTTAGCGTTAAACTAAAAAACATTACAACATACTACAAGATTCATACCCAGAATAACAGTGTAACTATTACCTCATGGGAGAAGTTTGCACAAAAAGGGCAGCATACAGTATGATGCTCCAGGACGTTTAGATGACCAGTGCTGCAAGTGTAAAAATGACAAGTTGCACTTAAATGTGCGGTTCCATATACAGGACTATTTCTTGGCTATGAGCAGCTTTATGCTAAGCTATGCTAAGCAGACAGCAGAGGTCGCTTCATATTTATAGTATGGATAGATGTAACTCTCACAGAATGTTGAGCTATTCCTTAAATCACACATCTCTGTAACTAAACTGATGATAGTCTTTGACTATCTGAGGCTCGTAAACTCCACCTGTTCCATATTCCAACCATAAATGTGCCAAAACTTACCACACAGGTATTACTTCATATTGGTGCTAACCCCTACTTTGAAATGGTGGAACTCATTTTGGTTTAATTTTAATTTTGCCCAATTTGCACATAACAAAATATAAAAATTTAGAGTTGGCACTACAACCTGCAAACATTTCCCTAAAAAGTTTGTGATGGGAACTATTCTTTTTAGCTGTTTTAGTTTTAGGCCAACATATTGGATGTTTCTCTGAGAATACCCGAGTTTTAAATTCTAAGTGTGCAACATCTTTGCTTCCTCTGGTTTCATAAAACGGATATCAGCAAGCTGCAGACAGACATAAGGTCCCAATATAATAACTTGGTGACACACTGATGCTCAAACTCAAACCGTCAAATGTTTAAGATAACGGACCTCAGTTGAACTGGCCTGTTTGTGATTCTGTTGTGATTTACTGTTCATGAATCAATCTCAAAATCAAGTGTCATGATTTACTGTAATTTGAAAGATGAGAAGTCTAATCGACAAATGCTACTGTGACTTCACAAATAATGCAAGGCTATTTTAATTAGTTATCTTGTTTAGAGGACAAGGATTGCCAGTTCTTTTAAATAATGCACTGTTAACCTTGAGCACTTTTCTATCAGCAGCAGTGATGTAAAGTAGAATTTCCTAAAATGCTCCAATTATGACAGAAGACCAGGGCATGTTACACATGGAGATAATCTATGCAAATTAGAATTTTTACTTTTTTAGTTTTAATTTTTATACTTCAAGCACTGTATGTTTTCCCTAAAGTCTAGTATTTTAACTGTTTCTGTTTTTACTTTTAGAAAACAGAGTACTTACTCAGGAAGAGAGCATTTCTTTTATTCCCCATCTCTTTTTTTCTTAAATCAGATGATCTATTTTGTAAATTTTATTTTCACTGTATTAAAGAAGACACACTATATATTGCACAGGAAAAGTATTTTGTTGATGCCAAAAACACTTCATCACACCAAGTTTCAATCAAATAATGTCATTTATTTACAAAAATAATTTGCAAAAATCAAACAGGGTTCATTAGAGGTCTCTGTCTCAATGCAAAATGATGATGTGTGGTGTGCATGTGAGTGTGTGTGCGTCACTGTGAGTGTGTGAGGCTGGTGAGGGCACGCAGCCGCAGTGGCATGGCCACGTTTGTGTCTCTATGCCACTGGGGTGTGGTGACATGTGGAGGTGGGGTAAGGACGCTCTGAGCCACACCAGGCGCCTTCAGCAGTGACCACAACTCCTCGCTTCGTGTTACTATAGCAACAAGGTCCTCTTCATCTGTGCACCAGGCAACTGACCCGCCTCTGGTTACTGTTCTTAGCTTGGAGAAGAACAGAGACACCCTAAAATAGACAAGAACACACAGTTACATTACATTACATAAAATAAAAAATGCGTGTATGGCTGTCACTCACCTGGGTATGAGGTCATGTGATCGTGACGCCAACTTAGCCAGGGCGCTCATTAGAGTGGTGACGACCCTGGGGGCAGGGCAAAGTGCTCCAGGTGGTGGGGCAGATGAAGTGATCTCAAACAGCACCGCCTCCAACGCCTCAAAACAGGAAGTGGTGAGCCTCACGGAGCAGCGAGCGTCACATGACACAGACAGGTACTCTCCCAGCACCCACACCTGAAAGCCAAGCAAGTGAAATATTATTTTGGTGTCAGGTTTTGGCACATTTGATTGTTTAGTGTGATATTTCACCATATTTCAATACACAGGAAAAAATGCTGAGATTTGAGAACAGCTTGAGATATGAGATGCAGTGAACAGCATCTAAAATACACAGAAAGGAAAAGTAAATCCACACGATCCTCGTCTCTGCTGTCCCATCTCATGCACGCACACACACACACACGGCTTTATTACCACATGAGTGTAGATTTCTTCTTTGCTGTAGACGTTGGCTGTGGCTCCAGCGAACTCCAGCAGCTCGTGAGACTGGTCCACTACCAGAGAGGGGTGGAGCTTGCACAACCTCAGCAGGTGGCAGCTGAACACCCTGCAGAAACAGAGAGAGGGGGGTGGAGCGAGCGAGGAGATCAAGATGAATATACAGCAACACTTTAGCGCCACTGTTTGACTTTAGGTATACCTGTGAATCTCTGTGATGTATTTAGGGATATTGAGGAGGAGGCTGCTTCTCTCCAGCATCACCAGAGTCAAGTGGGCTAAAAGCTTCTCGTCAGCTACCTGGAAAATATCACATCGTTTTTATAAACGGAAACTAAATGGCATTTTAATGTAAAGTTGCAGCAATGAATATAATGTCTCCACCGTGATGACTGTGTTGAAAAAAATGTGCAACAGCACGGGGACGGTCTGTGCACACTGAACAACTCTTGGCCAATCAGCAACCTCAGCCAGCAGCTCATGGAGCATGCTCAGTCGGTCAATGGTGTCACCTGTGAAGGAAAAGCACAGGGATTTAATTAATTCAACAAATGTTTCAAGAATAAACATCAAAGTGTACATGCAATCCCTGATCAAATAGTCTAAACAACAGTCAACATCTCTTTGCTCAGATTTTTACCGTTAACTTGTGGAAACAATGCCTCATGGTAGAGAAAGAGGGAACTGAAATACACTATATTATGTTAAACTAATCTATATCCCATTCATGTAAGTTATTGTTAAGATTCACTGTGGCATAAATAAAACGGTCTTTAAAAACGAACAGTTTGACATTTTAGGAAATTATGCTTATTTGCTTTCTTGCCAATAGTTAGAGGATTTATACCTCTCTCCTGTTTGTACGGTTAATATGAAGCTGCAACCAGCAACAAGTTAGCTCAGTTTATCATAAAGAGAACAAAACAGCTTTGGCTTTGTCCGAAAGATAACAAAATCTACCTCCGTGCACCTCAAAAGCTCATTAATAAAGTGTAAAAAATGGCAGGTTGAACTTTTATGGGAGGGTTTTGGGCGGATAAGCGTATTTTCCAGAATGTCAAACCATGCCTTTAATTGTGGGTCTGTGATTACCTGTACCCGCTTCCCCTCGAAGCAGGAAGAGGAAAAGACCACGATAAGAAGGGTTTCGAAATGCATCAAGTGACAAGTGACCACCTGGCTCAGAGATGGGCATAGAAGTTGACCTGCGAGAGACACACACACACACACACACACACACACACACACACACACACACACGGTGGTAGAAACATAGGAACATCGTCAAATCAATCTGGTAGGCAGTTTGCACATTTCTGGGCACTTTTACTCCGATGTGTGCGAGCGAGCACCTCAGTTGCAGGACCAATGTAGCAGAAAGACAGGGCAGGTCCAGCAGAGTGTGGAGAAGCTCCACTGCAGTTCCAGCAGTCACCAGAGAGGGCAGCAGATCCACAAAATCATCCACTACCGCCGGGCTGTCCCATGCTAACAACTACAGAGACAGAAATAAATCTCTGGTATCCCTCCCTTGGTACAACATGTACTCCTCACCAGCTTACAGTAAGTATTTGTAGAATATATAACAGTCAAATATCTGGCGTTTACCTTCAGCAGGTTTGGGAAGGAGTGCATGTACTGCGGGACTCGGAGCTGCAGGCTCTCAAGGTTTTGTCGAAGGAAGCGTAGCAGCTCATGTGCCAGGAAGTGGTCGTTGAAAAGCTCGGCAGGGAATCGGCCAAACACCAGCTTCCACACACTCTCACAATCCACGGCAGCCATCTCACCTAAACAGGTCCAAGGACACATTTTGCCGTTTTAAACTTAAAATGCTTTCGGTATCAGTGAATCAAGGAACTGAACTGTCTGTGTGAAAAAACACCTTTTTATGCATAAATCAATATTTGTACTTATGTACATCTGTAATTTGTTGAAAGAGAGAGACATACGTGAAGCTGAGCACATGTACATGCCGATATGTTTACACACCGTGGTTGAGGTAGAACTGTGCTATGGGCAGCAGGACTCTGGCGAACGACAGGTCTGAGCTGAGCCGACCAAAGAGCGCCTTGATGCACGGGAACGTTCGGTAGACCAGTGAGGTGTCCTCTACGCACACACAGTCCAGGATGCACACCGCCTCCACCAGACACTAAGATAGGGAACAGGACCGACACAATAAAGGCGCCAGTATGAACTCTAGTTTACAGTGTTACAGTCTCATCTGTTATTGCAAATGTACTGGAAGACAGAAAATAAACCAAACGGATAATTATTTAAGATAGATTTTATCCTTATTATTAAATTAGCCAGTTTCAGTAAAATCTGCTTGAAATGATTATTATATATAGTGGATAGGACAAGGAGGACATGTAGGTTACTGCTGTTGTGGCTTGTTTGTACCAGAAGCTGAACCACTATGTGTGTCATTAATGTACTGTATGTTCTCACCGCTTTCTGCAGGTCTGTATCTGTCCTTTTATGTGCCTCTGAGACAAAGAGAAGAATACACATCACAACTGCTCACACAACACAAAACAAAAAAACATAACGTACAGATACCAAACAATAGACAACCTTATGTGTGTATAAATTGTTAATTCAGAATCTGCATTTACAAATACATGACCTCTCTCTCTTGCACACAGCACAGTTTAACACACACACACACACTCACTGCGATCGCTCTGCTCGATGAGGCGTAGGCAGTACTGGAAAGCCTTCTCTCTCAGACGCTCCTTTGGAGGCAGCAATCGACTGGAGGAGGAAGTCGCTGAAACCATAGAAACCACCGAGCCGTCCACCTCCGACCGGTCATCTGCAACACGGGAGGTCAGGAATGAGAGGTCACGAAGAAAGAAATCAAAGGAACGATCATTAATGTGCTCAAACTCTGTATGATGCGTCCTCAGACTGCTTTTTACCGAACAGAGAACAGGAGTTACAATGATATTATAATTATATTAGGGAGATCATGACCAATTCATTGACTTACAGAAAACTAAAACTATAAACTGCTGTTTCAATCAAGAGGAACTAATTTCAATGTGATTTTGTGACAGGTTTTGTATAAACAGAAACTGTGTTGTTGTACAGGAAAACTCAACTGGGCATCTTTAAACTAGAGATGGGGGGATGACACTGAAGCTTGTTTCACTACTGTGAAGTGCATCCTTTCAATATATTTTCTCAGAGGTTGTGTTGAATGAAAAATATCACGTAACTGTTCGAAGACCGATGCTACAAAAGACACTGGTGCTTCAGAAAGAGCTTTATTCAGTTTGACCATTTTGAAAGTTGTGCAGCTAAACTCTGAAATACATAATCATAATTATGAGAACATTTCCACCTGACACTAAGTAATAATGCAATAAAATAATTTTTAATGAATATCACATCACATTGCGACTCATATGAAATATGTGTAGTTTATGACACTATGGCCTAAACTACACCAATATTGTACATTATTAATATTTAATGTCAGCAAAAACCATCTACATTCAATGCAGCTCTGAACAAAAGTATGAAGGATTTAATAATAAAACACAGACTGTTTTAGCGCTTTGTCCAGTCTTGAAGGGCTGCTATAAGTTTTACCAGCAGAGCAAGTTTTAACACCAGATGTCACTGTGCCGCTTTGTTTTCAGCCCCCCTACCTATTTTTGGCACAAATACAAAAAAAACCCCAAAGCTTCATACAGCATCATCCGCCCATCGCTACTTTCAACTAAAAGCTTTTGAAGGTTAGATGAGGGATTATAAGAAAAGCTTTAGAGACAGTTGGGTTAATGTTTAACACAATTGCATCCCCTTAGAAAGATGAAAGAATAAAAATAGCTGGAATTATAATATGGAAAAGAAAAAGGTCAACCAGAGAAGGCAACATAGAGCAAGAACAAGACCACAATGAGCCAATTCTCAAATGTGTAAAAAGATATTTAAATTGGACACACACACATACACACAGCTCTATAGCAGGCATGTGTTTAGGATACTGAATGAATATGAATTCATGTTTACAGATTCATGAGAGGATTAGAAGGTACACACACTGATGAAGTTAAGTAGTTAAGAAGTCACACGTCAGGATTTGTGGTGAGATAGTTTGTTAGATAAAAGCGCAGTTGTGAGTCATC